TAGGAACCGACCCTTCACGGGTCGAGGACTTCTGAGATGTGTCCCCACCAGAAAAAGAGACCTGAAAGTCCACGGGACTGCCTTTTGAGACTCTCCAAAGACAGGCTTGGGAGAGTGGTCACTGTTGAGCGCCTACTGTGTGCATAGCCCTATACTCAGTGCGGAGGTAGGGGAGAAAACCCAAAGGGTAGACCCCCGTGTTCCCGTGAGTCTCAGAGCTGTGGGGGAGCAGAAACTCGGGAGGAAAGTGGGTGGTGGATTCACACGTGGCACATTGAGTCAGAAGCTGCCCTTGTCGGAATGGGGAGGGAGGCCCTGTGGCCCAGGAATGGCTGGTCACCAAGCCCCTCCCCAGAAGCTGGCCTTCCCCACAGCCTCTGCCTCCCACCTGCTGCGTTTCCCTAGGGCTTACTCGTGCCCGGGGTGGACGGTCAGATTGGGCTCTGGGCTGACACTAAAAACAGTGACTGTTTTGGAATACCTACTCCACGCCAGGACCTGGTCAGGCAGTTGGCTGTAGCCTGGGCGGGTCATTTAATCTCAGGTGGATTGGGGTAGTAAGGGCAAAAAGGGCCACTAGAATGGGACTTCCCAGGAGGCAGAGTCCAAAACAGCCTCTGGCCATAGTAGGTGCTCGGTCAATCTGTTAGATGGATGAAGGGCCTGAAGCCACCCTCCCCCTGCTAGGGTGACATCTATGTGCTGTCCCCTCTGGACCGGGAGAAGAAGGACCACTATATCCTGACTGCCTTGGCCAAAGACAACCCTGGGGATGTGGCCAGCAACCGTCGAGAAAATTCCGTGCAGGTGAGGGGACCCACCGAAGCCAGGTTCGCCAGGGGCTGGGATGGTGGAGGCAGCAAGAAAAGCCTGAGAGGGTGACAGCTGCAGATGGAAACAACTGCCCCCTCAGGGACATGGGGACAGGAAGGAGAAGGCAAGGGGTCAGCTGGGTGGGTGACGATGACCACGGCCTAAGACGACGGGGACTCTAAGAGAAATCCCCAGGCCAGACTGCTGCTGAGGTTGCTAAACACGCCCCAGAGTGGCCTACGGTCCCACGTGGCCCGGTGTCTCCACAGTGTCCCATTGAAAGGTACACCATCCAGCCACCAAAGATAATCATAAAGTCGTCACCTTTACAAATGACTCTTAAATGACTCCTTTAAGAGAGCTTTATCAACTGACTGACAAGAGGAATGACTTGTTTAATGAGGAATCAAATTCACAACCCCCACTGGACATGGTGGCAAGTACCTGTCGTCCCAGCACTGGGGAGGCTGAGGCAGGAGGATCACTTGAGC